TATACTGTGGGATTTTTTAATTATTATTTCTATATTATAATTTATAATTAAATATTCAACAAGCAATTATTTAAAAATGTGCTTTAGAAAATCATTTCCAAATATTAAAATTGTATTATGATGTACCTTTTCCACAATTAACCATCTTATTTTCTTAAAATGAAATCTAGTAGGCGTTGCCGTTCTCATATTGTCCGCCAGTTGACCACCGTATTATTATACAACGAAACTTTTTTGTGTGGTCCAACCCGAGTACCTAAAGAGATGAGTACCTATAGTTGGGACGATTAAAATTGGCAAAGACCGCAATAAATTATTTGTGACAATGGACGTATCTTCTTTCTTGTTTCCACTTGGAACTGTAGTCATTTGCTACATTTTGAACACGCCCTTGTTAAGTTAGGAAATGCTTCATGAGTAGTACAAACAAACTGAAAAGAGATAACTAAATAATAATAAGCGGTGCAGTGGTTAGAGGTTGCTGAGGTATGCAAAATATCAGGGTCGGCTTTATAACTGCTGATTGAAATTCTATCTTTAAACAAGCGTCAAGCGTCTTTGTTTTTCTAAATTCCTGAGAATGTTGAAGTTTCTAAAAGTCCGATGCTGACAACATGCTCAAATCCTAGTTGTGTGCATCTCTTTCTGTTACTCATTATTCCTTTTTCTTTATTAGTGTCCGCTGCAATTTCTACCTGACATCTTTTTTGTATGTTTACGATATTCCCTTCAACGTCTGTCGTGAGTAAAACTAGGCGTTCTGTCAGCAACCGCTCTAGTCTAGTTAGTAAATCGAAAGATAAAAGTAAACGTGACAGTTTTATTGTGGACTATGGCACTTTTGAATATCCCAACTATAGAATACTATTAAAAAAGTATTTCGAAATTATTCATTAATGACCTCCATTGTAATTATCGGTCAATAATGATTTGTCTCGAAAATATCTCGTCTACAAGGATACCCAAGTTGATCAACTGCAGGGTTAAAAAAAATTCATTTAATACCACAATTTTCATCTTTGGTAGATACTGTTATCTCCGAATAGGTTTACTGGATATATACGAGAGATTTAAGCTAATTATAAATTTTAATTTTAATATCCTTGCGTTTTTTTTTCACTCCCGTCTCGTCTTGTAGAAAATATTTGCGACCATCCTTCTACTATTCGTTTGTCATACTTGCACAAAAGCGTATCCTGCCAATTACCAGCCTAGTCTAAGAATCAAAAGGACGGTGGGAACTATATTTGGGGAACCCTTAAGGATTTATTCTTCTGCTTATGGTGGTTATCCCGGATATGGAAATTATGGAGGATACGGATACGGTTATTCGAGTTATCCGGATTATGGGACCTATACAGGAATTGCAGCTGTTGGACCCAGTCCATTTACCCACAGGAGCGGGTGGAGAGCATCCCCCGGTTGGCGGGGAGGATATTGATATAAATAGCCTAGTGTTTTAATAATATTAATTAGTATTTTCTTGTAAAAATAAAAAGTATATGTGCCACTAGTTTCGAATATAATAACAATTTATTTAGATAAACCTTTATATACTTTTTCCAAACACACGGTCTATGATGGTTAAAAATAGCTTACTTTTAGTGTGGATACATTTTTAATTAAATTGAAAACTAATACATATTTGCGAATTACCACGATATTTAAGTAGGGTTAGTCGAAATTTAAACTGAACTTTGCACCTACTTATACGTGCATACAAATATACACTTGTATAAATGTATAAAAATATAATCTGAACTACGAGATGTCTGTTGCACCCATTTGATTTATTGAATTCGCCTTTTATTTTAGATTGTGCAAATCACATAATTCGTCTGAACATTTTAATAAAGAGGATATACGGTCAATGAAGTGTTACATGTAACAATTTCGTTTTCTGACAGGATAACAATGATTGATTCGATTAAAGTACTAATTTATTATTTTCAACAAATTACCGCGTCCTTGCTACACTTAAACCGTAGCAAATGTTGTTTTATAAATGCGGTTGTCAATTGCCTATTCGTTCCCATACTCAATATACAAGTTCAAGTTTAAACGTTAAAAAAGTTGGACGAAATGGTGTCGATGAATTTGGGGGTGAGTTTTAGACACTTACGCTTTTCTGTGCTGCTAGTTTTCATTAAATTACTTTAGAAATTTATTTGGGAAAATGATTTTTGATTGTGTGTGTCATTACACTTGTGGTTTTCCCTCCAAAAAAAGTGTTTTTAAATTGAACGCCCTTTAGTATCTACAGTCCCATTGATAAGCATTTAATTTTTTTCTTCGGATTAGACCTCAATTTTATTATTGTCAATGGCGATCATATCGATGGCGAAACCAACTCCTCAATCCATTGGCGACAATGTGATGGACCTTGTAGGTAAGATAGCGACATTCGGAACGAATTTTTACAACCAAACTTTTGGACAGTTACCAAATGAACCGACGAAAGTCCGCGTAGAACGAAACTTAGATGCTGCTGAACGACTAGAAAAGGCAAGGTATGGCTACGGTGGACTTGGTTTTGGATTTGGTGAAGGTGCTGGAGTCGGAGGAATGGGAGGAATGGGTGGTGTGGGAGGATTATGTGGTCATGGAGGTCATGGAGGTCATGGAGGAGGTACTGGCTTGGGATCGGGAACTGGAATCGGATCTGGTACTGGTATTGGATCGGGCTTGGGTATGGGAGAAGGAATAGGTATGGGTGAAGGGATAGGTATGGGGGAAGGAATTGGTGTAGGCGAAGGAATAGGAATAGGAACCGGAACTGGAATCGGAAGAAGATAGGCTAAAAAGTATACTGTTAATTAAGCAAACATCAGTTACTAATAAAGAGACTGGTTGAATAAAATTTTATTCAGATTAATTTTTCTAATCTTAATATCATCATTTTCTTAAAAAGGTAAATTAAGGTGTCGTAAGCCCTTTTAGTTACAAATTACAAAATTAATTCGTTTACCATGCTCCAACTATTTTTTCATGAAAGAGCTTGAATGACAGTGCTTCCAAGACCTGAAAATAAAAGATAAAGCACTAAAGCTCTGTCCAGTTCTTAGCTTTATTTTGACGTAAGTTATTATACTAGCACGTTATATAACAACTTGTTTATAGAAGTTTTTGTATTTCACAGATTCTTTTAATGTGCAATTGTATTTTATTAATTTAATTATTAATATGTAAACCATTAATTTCGTATTTTATGTATTTTTTTATGACAGTTATGTCAGCAACACGGAACAAAATCGGGTATCTTCTAACCATAATGAGCAATATATCACTGAAAATACAATAATAACCCTTAAGGGGAATTTTGTGTACTATTTGTTTCTTCATTTAATGCGTAAACATTTCGCCATTGGTAAAGCCCAATTTATTAATGAATTCATTCCTTAAAAACCGGATTGATTCGACTTATAAATACAAGAACTCAGGTAAATAAAAAAAATCTCAGTTGGCTTAGAAGAGCCTTGCATAAAAAACGCTTTATAAATATTGTTGTTTGTGAATATGAATACGTTAGCAAAGTTGGTAAGTAAAAACAACATTAATATTAATCCTATTTTCAATAGTATTTTTTAATAGTACTTGGTTTGTAAAAATTTGCATCCATATTTAATAAAATCTAAAATTAAACCTTGATTACAATATAATAAACGATTATTTATAATTTCTTTTTAATATTTTTAAGTTCACACTTGTTTTCGCATTACTTGTGAGCTACGTGAGTGCAGCTCCAAAACCGATACATTATAAGGGTGGTTATGGATATCCAGGGTTTGGGTACGGTGGAGGTTATCCGGGATATGGATATGGAGGTTATCCGGGACATGGACACGGAGGTTATCCAGGATATGGTCATGGAGGTTATCCGGGTTACGGGCATGGGGGCGGCTTTGGTGGTGGTTACGGGGGCGGATATGGTGGTGGTTACGGGGGCGGATTTGGCGGAGGATATGGAGGCGGATTCGGTGGAGGTTTTGGAGGAGGATTTGGCAAATAGACAAAATATATAATAGTTTCTGTATGAAATGTGATGTGTAATCAAAATTTATTTATAAAACGTTTCCTTTTTTTACAATAAATAAATATATTAAGTAAGTATGTGATTTTTTTTTGGATGTTAATGAAAACGTTACATGTGAATCAGTTTTAGTTTAAAATGTTTGTAGTATCAGAAATGGAGAAAATAAATGCTATGAAAATAATAATCAACATTAACTAATGCATGTTGCATGTATCATCCCCATCCCCAAAATCTGTTTCCTTTATTAATAGCAGCATTGAAAATTTGATTTAAAATAATTTATCACATAAAAAATTCAGGAAGTATACATATTTGTAAATTTATTATAATTAATTACTTTATTATTCCAATGACCTTAAAACATCTTCCGTTTTCCTATACAATATACGTACATATTTTTGTAACAATTTTATAAGTAATTATCAGGTAGATGAAAAGTATCATGCCACATTCTATAGAGAAAAGTGTTAAGATTAGCGTAAACTGAATCAACATTCTATTTGTAAACAGTGCTATAAATCATTTTCATTAGTTGTATAGTCATCATCATTACCATATAAACAAGATGCGATCCTTAAGGTATACATCGCCAATTTCCGAGTATAAAATAAAAAGTAAACAAATATTTTTCACGAAATTTCCAAATCTACTTTTTTGCGTGCACATACGCACACACACATACTACTACTACCTATTACTACTATCTTCAAATTGCAAAATATGACGAAATCTACAATATATACAATAACATCCCTTTGACGAATTACTTTTCCGTAACAAGGTTGCATTCCTCAGGGACTGAAGGGAACTGCAAGGAAAAGCTATTTAAAAGATTTAAGGTTACTAATTTATATCAAAGACTGTTGTATTAACAAATAACAGTTTTAGAGAAGGAATTTCTTCCACAGAAAAGACAACTGAACTAAATAAGTAATTATGTGTCTATTTACCGGTACTGTACCGGTGACTGAGATGCTATTAACAGGTACTGTACCGAAGCCATTCGCCGGTACCCCACCCTGTTAAGAAAATGCTTCATTAGTGCTATAAGTTGCACTGATTGTGATTTAGAAGATTAAATTCATGCTTCATTTATTGTAAATAATTAAATTTAATAATAATTCAGTTAAATTTTTAATTTAGTTTAAATAAGCAGATTTAATTACCGCATATTCTGCTATATACGCCGTATAAGCACTCTCTTAATTTTCAGACGAAGAAATGGAAGTTTTAAATTTTGCAAATTATTAAGGCCTGAACACTGGAAATTTTAAGNAAATGTTAATGGATAATAAGAGAAATTTTCATTTGTATGTATTTACGTATTCATGACCTTATTCAAAGTTTTCCTGGAGACAATGTGTTGGCACATACGCCGTATAAGCACTCTCTTAATTTTCAGACGAAGAAATGGAAGTTTTAAATTTTGCAAATTATTAAGGCCTGAACACTGGAAATTTTAAGTTCAAGAATAACTCCATCTTAAACGATTTTCAAAGTCTGAATGTTAGGGGTCTGGGGTTTTCACAATTAGAAAGAGGAAACAACTATTTCATTCATTTCTCTTATATTAATTTGCATCATCTCATTTTGTTTTGCTATTAATATACCTTGAACAAATAATAACCGTGTTTCAGGTAATCAAGTAATTATTTGCGGCTCTTGAGTTACACAAATAGTTATATGGTTTATTATATTTCCCAACCACAAATAATATAACTACTAGTCGCACATCTTAGGCAAGGACAAAAGTTACACCCATCATAAGTCGTTGATTCACATTCGGTATGTAATTTGCATAATAAATGAGCGAAGTTTTTCTTTTTAATTCTACGACCCTTGATTATTACGTACTAATAAGCGTTAGTACCTAACGTAGTACTTTTGTACCTATTGTCAATTTTCTTTAAAAATATTTTGTGCCAGTAACCATTAAGTATGTAGCTTTCTTCATAATTGGGGGGCTTCCCTTGGAGTAAAGTTCACCCGGTTGATTGAACGAAGTATGGTCAACATGTAGGTTACCTTGGCTACCAATGGTAAAGATGTGTTTGCGTATTCAGCCCAACAAACGACAAAGATGCGATGATTTTTTATAAATACATTTACCATCTGAAAAAGTCAGTAAACATATTTTTGCTCAGGTAAAGTAGGGTTCGCTCTTTACAGTGTGCAAGTGTTACATATTATAACGAAACGAAAATGAAAGTAGTCGGACTTTTCGTAAGTTTACTTAAAATTTTGTAATTCATAGACATCCTTATATTATTATTATTACATTATACAAAATTTTCGTAGGTTTTGCTAATCGCTTGTATACTAGCACGTTATATAACAACTTGTTTATAGAAGTTTTTGTATTTCACAGATTCTTTTAATGTGCAATTGTATTTTATTAATTTAATTATTAATATGTAAACCATTAATTTCNTACATCTATATAAATAGATTGTTAACCTTGTTTAGAGACCCAAAAAGATAAACAAAGTTTCCTAGGTTAATAAAGGGCCGAGAATTCTATAAAAGAAATCGAAATATGAGTTAAAAAATAGTAACGCATTGATCCCTTACGCACGAGCAGTAGAAATAAGAGGTTTCAAATTGTTTGTTGTAAAATGGGTGAATTAGTAAGGGTGAGTTGAAATGCCAATGAGTTTGTAGGTACAATAAAAGTTCACATCTTATTTACATCTCAAAATTACGTATGTAAATTTTAATTTGCATATACTAATTAAAGCGATTAATTAAATTATGAAAATGAAAAACGTTTCATAAATGCCAATTTGCCTTCTGCATCGACGTAATCTCGCTTATTGTTAATAGCTTTTTCGTGATGAATTGGTTATTTTGTTACTAATCACGAGCTGTATTTTTTTTAATATTATGTTGATTTAATTATTCTTTTACATACTTTTTATAATAGTTGTTTTGTATTTCAATTGAAGATTTAAAAAAAAAACGCAATTTTCAAGTTCGCATTAAATTACTATCCTGAAAAAGTTTTTAACCTAAAACGAAACGTTGATGTGAATGGGCTTTCGTAATTTGTCTTTAACGTGCATTGACACGACACGTGTAAGCTGAATATTGTATTTTTTATAGGAAAAACAGACTTAGTATTAGTATAGAGCTGGATTAATGTCCCCAGCAGTAATAATGATACTGAAAAAACCTGAAAAAAAAAACGTTCAGTTTTCTTTACTGTTCGCATGTAATTAAATTCTGGAATTAATTTTCTAGATAATTACATTTGCAGTAGCTATAATTATTAACTATTGTTGTTGTTTTACCGGTCCGAATCGACTAACTAATTAGACTTGTTTCAGAAGGATTAACGATTTAAATTATTGATTTTAAATATTCTTTCTAAACAAGGAATTTCGCAGTTGGTATCTAAGATTTAATAGATAGATAATATTTTTTGTCACTCTCATTATATTTGGGGTGGGGTGGTACCAATATAAAAAGAGTCCAAATTATGTGGAAAATACAAAACAAAAAATTTTTTCCTATACGTAGTTGACCGTATATATATAAAGGTCAATGCAC